CGAGGTGAACAATGGAACAAATGACGCTGCTGAAGACGCGTCACCTGAAAAAGCCACGGTGGAAGAAGAAACTCTACCCGGTTTTGAGAAGGGAAACAGTGAAGCCCTTGATGAAGTTACTACCACTGATGTGATTGTTACTGATAATAGGACATTTTGTGATGGAGCAGATGAACCCCACGTGAAGCAGAAGCCAACGAGACGGAGACCAGTACGGAAGGAGATACGTAAAATTAAGAGACTTTGTTGAATTTTAATTTTGTGCTTGTAAATTATGTACATTTAATTAAGTTATTGTTAATTATCTATTGGTTAATGTAAGTGGCTATTGTTCGGGACGAACAATACTAAGGAAGGGGCAGTGTTACGACAGTGGAAGTCACGTGACGCTGGTAACACGTCCGTCATGAGATTCTCGAAGGATCTTGACTTTTCCTGGCAACATTAGTCTGTTCTAAGCGCCCTCTTTTTTGTATACAAGTCCGGCAAATAAAACGGAGATAAGATTACAGATAGATAGATATAGAGACAGATAATCGAGTTTGTAACGACAAAGAATAAACTAGTTTTAATTAAGAAAGTACTTGTATCGCTGAAGTTTCTCGGAAAGAATTTCTACGGGAAATTAACAAACAAGCAGATACGTAACAATATATTAAGAGAGAGAGAGAAAGATGCTGTTTACTATTGGAATTACTATATTCAAATTAGTTAAATTTTTGATGTTTAATATTTGAGCAATTTAAATCGCTGGGGAAAAAATCACATTATTAAATTAATGCTAAAAATCTATCCCTTATTACCAAACAAATTGTTATCATAACCTACAGCTGCTACATTTCATATAGGCATAAATCCTTAACTGTTTTACTTTGCTCAGTTTACTTGCTAACATATTGTATTATCTTTGCGCATATCAGCTAATGTGAAGTCACTATTTCAATATATCAATTATGTGCACCTTATTCTGGCTTATATAACCTCGTTTGTAATATGCGAAAACGTAGTATTCTTCAATAATGATTGAATAATATATGTTTTTATAAATATTATACAGTTTTGTTTTAGTCGAAGAAGCAGCGATGTCACCTGAATAAATCATGTGATCCTATCTCTAAATTAAGAGAAATGTTTAGGCTTAGTTGCAACAGCGTCTGTAGACTTGGATATGAAATCTACAAGACCAGAGCAGATTAGAATGAAACAAGTTTTATGACCTTTCACTAATGTTTCTTCGTGTACAAATAAAGCTCTATAGTAACTAATAGGAAATATTCTGTTAGGATCCAGCCTGTTGCAAAAAGCACTGGTTAAAATTTACAAACTACAAAATCCTGAAATATGTGAGAAGTACATCTTCAACCTCCTAAATTGTGTTATAGAAAAGTCAGTATTTTACTGAAAGGCTGAATTATCTGACTGACCTTACTATAAAAGTACTTATACAAAATGAGGAGTTGTTTTTCAAAACAGCAAATTGAGAAATGGGATAAAATGCACACGTTAAATTGAATTAAAGAAAAAAGCTTTAATACATTTTAACTTAAGTACATTTGCCATGTTTTAGCATTTTATTTCATTCTAAAGAATTATTTGACAATCAGTAAAAAATATGGAATGTAAATTTGTATTCAAATTGAAATATGACAACAAAATAAAAAAATGCAAAACAGAGATTTTAACATAAATGCAGATCAGAAAGCTGCTCCTTTAGGCCATTACTATCACTCCTCTTTTCTGTATTTTGCCTAATTAGAATTCATCTTTTGTTCGCTGATTGCTGTGATGTTGCATGTGATAATCTGATGGTATAAGCCCCACAAAAAACTGAGGATTAGCAGTAATATCATGTTTAGTTATTTTAGTATCTCTGTCCGAGTCTACCATGGATACCAAATGCCAAGCTTCACCTTCATGTCTGTCTTGAGATGGGAGAATCCAGTCCTTGACCTCATCTTTATTCAATGCACCATCTTTATTTTTGTCCAAGTAGTTGGTGAAGTGATTTTGCTGTGCAGGTGCCCAGCTAGAATCTTCTTTCTCTCCTCCAGAAACTTTTTTTAAGTGTTCCATATATTCTTCTAAGGAAACTTCATTATTTTTATCACTATCCATGTCTTCTATTGCCTCCAAAACCAAAACTTCACCAACTCGAGCTGATTCTTCAGGGTGTAACAATTCTCGGAATTCTTCTTTGGTAAGCACCCCATCACCATTGACATCAGCTAATTTCCATCGTCTTTCTGAACGTCTTAGCATATCTTTTAAATTGGCTAAATCTTCAGGTTTTTTGGTTTCTTCAAAAACTGAAATGTGAAAAAAAAAGTATACGAATGTATTTGAACTTGGATATTTGACATAGGAGCACACACACACACACACACACACATACATACATACAGTATGTACACATAAGACACGTTTATATGTTTTAAAATTCTAATCATGTTCTTTATAAACACATTATATTCACCTTTAAAACTATATTTAAAAACATTTGTGCCAGTCTACAAGTAAGAACAAGAACTGGGGCTTTATCTTTAGATAGTTTCAAGGATTACTTCCATATATATTTTTTTCTGAAGTTCAGTTAGTCTTCTCATAAATTTCAATGATAGAGCAAATTTTCACACTTTTAGATTTTCACTTTGTCATTCATTAGCTGTTTGTGGCTGGTACCTTCCAGACAAGAAGCTTATAAAACGGAGGTTTGTTTATGTAATTTTCTACTTCAAGAGAATGTATATAGCAACTGCATTAAAAAAAATATTTTGGTGTAAATAATGGCTATTGATAAAGCTTAAACAACACTGTACACAGGTAGGATGTAAATAGCACAAGTACAACTAGGTAATAAAATACAACATTTATCATTTTTTAACAACATTCAAGCAAAGGTAATGTCTGATAATTAGCAATTTCTGCAAGATTTAGTGTCAGTTTGAAAGTACAGTAAGATTTTAGCGTTTACAAGTACAGAAATGGAAGTTACTACTTATAAAGGGTGGTTTGAACACAATTTAAAATGAAAACTGCATACTGAAAGTCAGAATATAAGAACACTTAACATATTTAGCAACTGTGAGATACTTTGACTTAATGATTTTAGATTTCCTGAACAGAAAGTTTGATTAATGCAATAAATTCACTTATATACCCATGTAAACAGAGATTAGAATACTAAGTTTAATTTTTCAAATTTATATAGTGGTTGACAAATAAAGTACAATATTTTCCTACACACTATACATACGATATTCAGGGAAGGTTAGGTTTTTATATTTATCCCAAGTAAGCACTTCTTTCTGCTCAGGGTTATAGCCTTCCCAGGTCAGTAGTTCTTCAACTTGTGGTTCGTAGTACATCCATTGCTGATCAACACTTTCTTGGAGCCCCCTCTCATGGATAAACTTAATCCAGTCTTTTAATTCTTCAACAGTAACATAACCATCCTTATCCCTATCAACATAAGAGTCTACAACATGTTCTAAGTGTTTTTTTATTTCTTCTGCAGATGGTTGCTGATTATGGGAACTATCTTCTTGGGATGAAGGATGAGCTCCTTCTTGGGCATTAATAGCTATAATCAAAAAAGCTCCCAAAATACACCTTTTTGTAATGAAGTCCATGGAACCTGTAAGAAATATTTCAAGCAACTTAACATAATTACAATAATAAACAAGGTATCCATAACATACTTTGGTATCAGAGTTATCCAATGTTTTTTCATTGAAAAGTTATAGCAACTTCAAAGTTAAATGCTAAAGCTTTCTTAACTGGTCATAACCCATTAAACAAAGTTAAATAAGCAATGTTTCATTCTCATACATTGCTTATTTAACTTTGTTTAATGGGTTATGACCAGTTAAGAAAGCTTTAGCATTTAACTTTGAAGTTGCTATAACTTTTCAATGAAAGTTTTTGATTACACCGTTCGGGTATTCTATGATATATATAGTGTCAAGCAAATCACTTTAGAACTTTAAAATGAATTATGTTTAGTGACTAGAATTGGTCTGCTGATAGTTATCATCGTTAATTT